CAAAGCCAGAGCCTTTTTGTCCCCCTTGTGTATTTCATTCCATTCCATTCCAAGACAGTCCTCTCTGCACCTTTGTCTCCCCTCTATAAATTCATTGGTTCATTTATTTATTTATTAAAGGCTGAGTTCTACCTAAATATTTCTCCAAATCCTATGTGGATCTGAGAAACTAGAGAAGTACTGAATTGTATCAAATGCTTGAGCGAGAGGGGTCCACAGGGTCTGTCTGTTTGATGTTCTCTTTTCTAGAGGGAGCAGTGAGAACCCGAGAAGGGAAATGACCCACTGGATGCATTGTGAGTACAGACAGGCCCAGAACGCGAGCTCTGTCCCTGCGGCCACCCCTCCCGCTTCCTTCCACTCAGTCGCTCTGAGAACGTGCTCTGGGCCAGGCACTGAGCTAGGCAATTTGCTGATTGTCGTCAGGAAAGTGGAGCCATCAATTTTTCCTGAAGATGCATTCTTTCTTAAGCAGGGAATCGATTTCCAACAAGATACACAGGCTTCCGATGAAGCCACTTATGTGAATCTGGACAAAACAGCATTAATCCACGGCCAGGGGCATTTATCGCCATGCCCCTTTCAGTTGCAGGTGTGGTGTTGCTGGAGGAACGGGCACTGTAGGCTCAGCAGCCAGATGGGGGTCCCACGCCGGGGTGCGAGCAGACCTATGGTGAGGGGCCCGAGGGCACCATCCACATGAGGCCAGTGCAGAGCTTGGCTCATTTGACCCAGACCTGTCCCTGTCGGCCACGAACCTGGCGTATGACTTTGGTCTTTACTAGCCCTTGTCCGAAGCTCCGTCTCCCCATCTGTAAATGGGAATAAATGGTCTTGAAAGTTCCTTCTGCCTTTCAAAAGCAGGATGTCAGATGATGGCACAGGCATTTCTAGGGAGTGAAGAGACTTGGGTTTGAATCTCAGCTTCAGCTTTCTAGGACCCTGGGTACTATGGGTGGAACTGTGTCTGCCAAAAAATGATGTGCCCGAGTCCTAACCCCCCCTACCTCAGAAGGTGACCTTATTTGGAGACAGGGTCTTTACAGAGGTGATCATGTTAAAATGAGGTCATTAGGGTAGGCCCTAATCCAGTATGACCGGTGTCTGTATTGAAAGGGGAAATTTGGACACAGACAGGCATTGAGGGAAGCTGATGTGGAGAGACACTGGGAGAAGACGGCCATCCACAACCAAGGAGAGAGGCCTTGGCCAGGTCCTGCCCTCACAGCCCTCAGAAGGAACCTACCCTGCCAACACCTTGGTCTCGGACTTGCAGCCTCCGGACTGTGAGGCAAGACATTTCTGTTGTCGAAGCTGCCCCATCTGTGGTGCTTTGTTCCTGCGAAGGAATACAGGTGATCTCTGAGTTTCCTGATTATAACATAAAACAACCTGCCTGCAGGGTTGTTTTAAGACTCTGATGAGAGGATACATATAAGGCACTTAGCATGGCCCTCAGCGTAGAGTAAGCACACAATAATAGTGGCTATTAGTCCTGTGTGGTGGGGCCACTGGTGGGGCCTGCAGAAGTCAGCCAGTACAGGACAAGACGGCCTCAAGTCAGACCTTCCAAAGAGAACTGGGTCACCCGAGGCGCCCCTTCCAAAGCCTCTCTAAATGTGGAGAAGGCCAGAGAAATCGCTATAAATATGGAGAAGTTCTTAATTGTTTCTAGCGAGAGAGTGGCCTCTGCCCTGACAAGGCCGCGAAGCTGGAGTTTCTTTATTTTTATGTCCCGGGTACTTTGAGTATGTTGAGCTGCTATGGGTGATCAATAAGTGCAGTAGTCATGGCCATTTTATGGGCATTTTGTAAAGGAAGTGGCATGTTTTTGATGGGAAGGACACTCACTGGATGACCCTGAGCAAATCCATTACCCTCCTTGGGCCTCAGTTTCCATATCTGCAAAGTGAAGAATATAGACCAACCAAGTCAGGAGTTCTTAAGCTGCGTCTATGAAGGCCTAGAAGTTAAGTATAAGTTTTGTGCGCACATATGCATTTTGGGGGAGAAATGTCCATAGCTTTTGTGTGGTTCTTGAAGGGGAGTTGACGTCACGTGGACAACCTCTCAAGGCTGCTGGTTCCTGGCTGGTCTGGGATTCTGGACACTGATTATAAGGTTGTTTCTAAGCCTCAAGAAGCAAGTCCTACAAAAGTGGCTGCTCTGAGTTACTCGGATGAGAGGGATCAGGAACATAGAGAAAGAGCTCCCCAGAGAGCTTATCACTGGGGGCTTTGTTGGCCAGGTAGGCCCCAGCTGCCCAGCACCCTTGTGTCTCTGCTTTTGGCCCTCCCTCCTGCTCCACAGGCCCTAGGTGATGTCTGAGTGGTGCCTCCCAGCCCTGCTGCCTGCCCCTCTCCTGGATGCTACATCAGCCTAACTCATTTGCCTGCTTCTGTGCTGGCCCCACCTCCATCAAACTTGGAATAAAACCCAAATCTCTTACAATCCCTACCTGATCTGGCCTTCACCTGCCTCTCTGAAGGCATCTCCCATCCACCCCACACCCTGAGCTTCAGCCTCCTGGACCTTTGGTCAATGCCTCTTGCTCTAGGCTTGGTCCACACTTGGGTTTTGCCTTTGCTGGGCCCTCTGCCTGGAATGTTCTTCCCCGTGTCTTCCACTGCCTGGCTCCTCCTTCAAGTCTCAACTCAGATGTCAGCTCCTTCAGGAAGCCTTTCCTGATCCCACCATCTAAGATAGATTCCCCTCCCTCTGCTGTCCTCCATCAGTGTGCTTGGTTTGTTTCCTTCGTAGCATTAACACAAACTATAATGAAATATTTATGTGTTTCCTTCCCCCGCTAAGAGGTCAACTCATGGAGGAAAGAACTGAGTCTTATATGTCACAGTGCCTGGCTTGTAGCAGCATTTAATAAATCCTGGAATGCACCCACTAGCATCGCTCAAACTAACATGAATGACAATACCAAGTGCTGGTGAGGGTGTGGAACAATTGGAACTCCCACACAGCTGATGGGAGTGTACAAAGGTACAAACACTTTGGAGAACAATTTTGCAGTTTTTAGAAAGTCGCACATACACTTAGCATATGACCCAGCAATTCCACTCCTAGTTACCCAAGAGAAATAAAATAAATAAAAACAGATGTCCACACAAAGACTTATACACAAATATTACAGACTTGTTCATAATTGCCAAGACCTAGAAACAAACCACCTATCCATCTAGAACAGGCAAGACTACTGCATCCCTCCTCCAGTCTGTAGGGTAAGGAGGAGAGGGAAGCCCCCGAGAGGCAGCTGAGACTCTACCGGAGTGTTCCCTGCGGCGGTGACAGTTGAGTGGTGGTGACTAGTAGTTGGGGTGTTGGGCGGGGCGGGGAATAGTCAGGGGCTTGGTTGGGTGTGGGGTTACCTTGGGGACCCAGAGCTTAAAACAGCACCTGTGTCCCTCATCTTCAGATTCCCCAGTTGCATTCAGCACCAAGAGGACAAGAGTTTGCCCATTTTACCCCTGGCTTAGCCCGGCCCCCAGCACAGCGCCTGGCCCCGGGTGACACGGTGCTCCGTATTCATGGTTGTTGAATGCATGTGGGTTGGAGAAACACTGAGCAGATGAGGACAGGGGTGATTGGGATGTCCCTGCAGACAGAGACTTGCCGGGCACCATGCTGCCTGGCCCGAGAGCAAGGGACCAGCCACTTGAGAGAACCTGGCGCAGCCGCTGCCCGTGCGTGCAGGATTCTTGCAAAACGCCAATTAAGACATTTGACCCAAATTCGGATAAAAGCCTTTTTCCTGTGTCAAGTTGAGCTAATAATATACATTTATTCATAATTTATGAGGCCTAGTAAGTGGGAACAATTAAGGAAAAGGCCTGGGCAAAACCTATTTCTCTTAAGTGTCACACAGCCCTTTTCTGTTCCCTGAGGCAGTTTCACCCCCTCTGCCTGCCATGAAGCACTGTTGTTTTTATTATCTTTTTTATTTGTTAGCGTTACTGTTAGCTGGCGTTTAGTGAGCACTTACCGAGCCCAGCTCTCACGTTGCCTCGTGTAATCTTAACCATGTGAGGCGGTGGTGTCCCATTATACAGGTGAGACAGTGGAGCTTCAGAGAGGTGAAGGGACTGGCCCAAGGCTGCACAGCTGGTGAGTGGGGATTATGATTCAGGTCTGCCAGAGCCCAGGCCAACCTTCCTTATCACTGTGGTGCTCCGTTTCTGTGTCAGCCTCCCAGCTCGGGCTATTTCTGAACCCACAGAGCGGCATTTCTATTGGTAACTGTTAAACTTGGGAGATTAAGGTGAGAACGTAATCGCCCTCTGATACAGTTGGTCCTGGGTTAGGCCTGAGAATCTGCATTATTTCTAACACATTCCCAGGTGATGCTAACGCTGCCAGTCCTGGGACCTCACTTTGAGAAGCACTGGTTCAGTCAGTGCTGTTACCAGAGTCCTCCTTGACCCCCTCCTATCCCACCCACAACTGTCAGGTGGGTTTATGGCCTTCCAGACCTTTTCCTGTGTGTTTGTATATGTATTATCATACGTCAAGAAATGTGTAGCTTGATTTGTTTAATTCTCTTTACACACGTGGGATAATATTGTACCTGCTGATATTCTGCAATTTAGTTTTTTATTTAACGTATCTTAGAGAACATGTACATCTGCTTCATTCTTTTTCAACAACACCATAGGATTCCATGATACAGATGTAATAATTTTATTTATCTATTGTCTGCTTATGGGTGGTCCTCCACATTTTAGACTTTACAAATATTCCTATAAAATCCCTGGGAAGATGAGTGAGTGTTTTTCCAGAACATAGTAATCACTCAATAATGTCAGCCATTATCATTGCTGTTTTTAGTTGTTTCATTCTTAATATCAAGGGATTGTTGCCTTCAGAAATCCTCTTTCAGGTGGGGGCAGTTATGGAAAGGAGTAGCTCTCTATTCACAGGCTCTAATAAAGTTTCCAACAAAACATTTCTGGTAAGAGAAAAGAAGTGCTATATGGGCAGGGCCTTGAGGGATGTGTAGGAGTACAGAGGAGGAGAGAGAGCAGCAGGCGGGATTGGTACTGCCAGGGCCTGGGGCTTAGCTCCCAGTAGATTCAACAGTTGAAAGAGGGTGGGGCCGATTTTTCCATTTCTTGGTCACTTGGCAAAATCAGGGCTTGGCCAAAGGCAGCCGAGGGTCCAGGCTGGCAGCACCATGAGTAAGAGGGTCCCTGCTTAAGTCTAGCCAAGCTCAGCTCTGACCTGTCTCCCTGCTTCGTGTCTCCTCAGGGTGGGGAGTCCGGAGAGGAGCAACTCTGCGCCGACTTTCCCGAGCTCGACCTCTCCCAGCTGGATGCCAGCGACTTTGACTCGGCCACCTGCTTCGAGGAGCTGCAGTGGTGCCCCGAGAGCTCGGAGACCGAACCCAGCCAGTACAGCCCTGAAGACTCGGAGCTCTTCCAGGTATGTCCCCCGAGCATCGCCGAGCCTCTCTCTGCTCCTGAACGCCTGGCTCTGCCCTGCACCTCCTTCTGCACTGGCTCATGCAGAGAAGTCTCGTCACCACCAAAGCTCTGGGGACCCTGCCTCTCGTCCTGCATATGCGCCTGAACTCGGGCAGCTCCCACCCTCACGCCAGGCCTGCGTTGTGACCTCTCCAAAGTGAGGGCTGGGAAGAGCTGCTCTCTCTCTGCCCCGCAGTCAGAACCCAGGCCCTCTGTGGGCCAGGATGAGCTCCAAGTCCTCCCTTCCCTGTATTACCTCATTGAATTCTTATCCCCACCCTGTGAGGCAGGTGCATTAGTTCCCCATTTTACAGATGAGGAAACTCAGGCTTGGAGAGGTTAAGTAACGTGCCTGGGGTGATTTACCTAGTCCGTGGCTAAACTAGATTCAAACCCCGTCTGCCTGCTTCTGAGTCCCAGGGCTTTATAACCATGATGACACCGTAATGGGAATGACTCACTCTTATTGAGTGACTGCTTGGTGGCAGGACTGTCCCCATTTGTGTATATTAACTCACTTAATTCTCTTAACAACTCTCAGACATCAGTACAGTTATCTCCATTTTTCACTTGGAGCCTGGAGGTCCCGTACAAAGAGGTGGTGCCGAGCACACAGTGCGTGTATATGCCTTGCTCACCCCCGTGTTCCCGTTCCCGGCCTCGGAGGCACGTGATGGTTGACGTTTCCTTTAAGAAGGCCTCTGAGACGGACTAATAGGATGTGGATGAAATAAGATTGGCCGTGTTGAAGCTGGGTGATGGGTACATTCGGATTCATTATTCTTTCCTTGAAATATGCTGCCCCATAAAGATTGGAGGAAGAAGCCATAGCTCTCTGTGCCTGTCTGGCAATATCATAATAATAATAATAGTAACAATAACATACTGTGTGCCAAATGCCGTGCTGGTGCGCCATGAGCATTATCTCGAATAGTCCTCCTGACGGATTCTATCGTTCCTTCTAGAAATGTTTCTGGAGCTCCCTCTGTGTTTCAGGCAGTGTGTTCATCAGTGGAATCTAGAGTGGAGAGGGGAGACTGATCCTCGATCAGTTAACACGTCAACAGTGGTCACTGTGACATGGGCACAAAGCGACTAAACCTGGGATAAGAAGAGCATCTGAAGACTGGGTGGTCGGGAAGGCCTTTCTGAGGAGGAGATGTCTCAGCTGAAGGATGAGAAGGAGCCACATGAGGATCAAAGAGCAGGGACAGAGCTTTCCCAGCAGAGGGAGCAATAAGTCAGAACCAGGAAGCAGGAAGGGTTGCTGGGTTGGGGAACAGAAGGGCTGGAGGGTGGTAGGTAAGGAGAAAGTGCTAGGAGATAAAGTCGGAGAGGTGGGCAGGGTCTTGTGGGCCATCGTAAGTTGTTTGGATTTTTCCCCAAGACTATTGTAACCTGTAAGTAAAGGACTATTAATAACTCATTTTACAGGTGAGGAAAGTAAAGCTCAGAGAAGTTAAATAACTTACCCAAGGCCACACAGCCAGGAAGGGTCAGGGTGAAGACTCTAACCCAGGAACCCATACCCCTCACTGCTGCACCGTCTGCCAACCCTATGAGGATCGGCAGGGCCAGGCTCCGGTTCTCGCTCCATCCGGGAGCCTCCATTCTTCATCTGAACAGTGGGGATGAGACCTATGCTATGCTGCTCCCTCCCTCAGAGGGGGCCAACTTCCAGAAAATGCTTTCAGGTTGTGGAGAGCTGATGAGTGAGAGGGGTTTAGATGCTGTGTGGAGACCGTCCCCACCTAAACTTACAGACCCTCGCCTACTCAGAGACTGGCCAGACCCCCTGGCAAGCTCCTGCCAAGGTCCTACTGTGTGCGTGTAATGGTCTCAGAGACAAATCAGCCTGGCGCGGCCCCCCGGCCCCCAGCCCAGCGAGGGAAGCAGCATCCTCACAGATGGTTGCGACTGTGGCAGAACTCTGCCTGCCCAACCCCTCTCCCCTTCGTGGACTGCACTCCCCACTGCTCTCCCAAGATGAGGCCATCTCCACCCGTCACACCCCGATGCACCTCTGTGTGTGTGGTTATGGGATTGGTGCCTGATCCCCACCCCCCCGTCGTAAACCCCATGAGTGTAGGGGACGTGATGGCATTGTGCATTGTTACGTGCCCAGGGCTCCACACAGAGCCTGGCACTTTCTCCAGGCTTAATAAATATTTATCACATGAATACATCCTTCGATGCCCAGCTCTCATGTCAGCATCTCCTAAGGCAGTTGCCCAGTCACTTCCTCTCCTGGGTTCCCATCTCATGTGCACCCGTGTCCTTCAGACTTCAAGCTCCTTGAGGACAAACAGCATTTTATTCGTCTCTGAGGTCCTCGCACATTGTAGAGACTCAATCACATCTGTGGAATGAAGGAACTGACTGTAATATTTTCTTTCCTGCCAAGGACCAGACATGACCCATTCCAAAAACCTTGAGCTGGGATCCAGGGGCCATAGGTTCTAATCCTCCCTCTGCCGCCAGCTGGGACAGTTTCCACATTTGGCCAATAGGAATGATAGAGCCGTGTTCTAGCAGTGCAGTGGCACCATTGCTGTGGAGACAGACTGGGAGAGTGGAGAACAAGCTACCATTACAGGGTTGACAACTCCTCAGGGGTAGGGACAGTGCCTTCCGTTTCTCTGTATGCCCGGAGCCCTAGGGCCAGGGCCACAACAGCCACTTAGTAAGTATTTTTGGAGGAAGCATTTGGCTGTTCTGTCACACTTCGCTGTGTGGCCTTGGGCAAGTAGCTCCCTTTGGTTGGGCCTCAGTTTCCCCATGTGAGGAATGAGGAAGGAACATGGATTCCATCAGTGGTTCTTAATCTGTTGCGGGGAGAGTCACTGGTTTCTTCTAGACTCTGATGAAGTCTACAGACCTACGCCCAGAAAAAAGAGGGGAAAAACTGAATTCATGGGTTTCTTAGACTCCAGTTAAGCCTCTTGGACAGCAGAGGATTTCTGAATGTTCTTTTGATGGCCTAAATTCTGTTCTGTGTCCTTCCTTCAGGCTACTCTAGGCCCTCAAAATGAAACATTTTTCCCTCAGATGTCTTGAAGACTCCTTTTCCTCCAGTTGAGATCAGCTCAGGAAGGTTGGGGGTGGGGTCGAGTCTATTAATATCCCTTCCTCAGCTGATTAACTCTGCATTAATTTGCACTCCGTTTCCAAGCAGAGCAGGGAGAGACAAGCTAATGGGCCCGGGAAGAGGAGAGGGGTGGCATGGCTCCCTGTGATGGATTATCCTAGGGTGCTGATGGGACGACGCTGTGGGCAAGGAATGGCCTTTCTTGTCAGCCAGGGTCAGGGCTCCAACCCTACCTGGCTGTTCCAGAGCAGAGCAGCCTAGGGAGGGCTGAGGAGAGAGGGGAAGGCCTTGTGTTAGTCATTTGGTTTTACCCAACCTGTTGGGTGCTTCTTGAGATTTCTGCCATTTTGTGTTCATTTTATCACGGTGCCTGGCACACAGTAAGCCCTTGACCCCCGCCCCCCACCACCGTGACCGACTTGCTGTGTGACCTTGACAAGTCTCTTTCCTGCACCTTCATTGCCCCCACCCCAAAAAGTATGGCAAGTAGGTTTCCTTGTGAGCACCAACTGTGATGGATAGGCAGTGTTACCTGGAGGGTCAGGTTAAGAAAGATGCTGGTGTGGAAGGAACTTGAGCCAGAGTAGGTTAGTGATATGGGGGAGGGTCGCAGTAGGCCACATGTTTGCCATTCCTGGTCACTGTGTGATCCCTGAGGGCCCTTCCAGCTCTGATATTTGTGATAATTTGTAATGTCTCTGGGCCGTGCTGCTCTCCCTGTGAAAGGGGGATTTCTCATTCCATCCAGTGCTGATGACTGACTTCCCTCCAGAATGTGTTCTGTGAGACACTAATCTCAGTCTCTCCCTGTCGTCAGAGTTCATTGTTTGGTTCATTCCTCTTTCCATTCAGCACATCTGCCTCGGTGCCTCCCATGCCCCAGGCACTGAGCATTTTCCTCACGACTTCCAGACTCAGCCTCCCTCATAGCCCCAGGAAGGAGGCCGGCCAGGGATCATGTTCTCCCGCTTACAGAAAAGCAGCAAGAGTTAGAAGAAGCAACGAGTCGCCCAAGATCACCCTGCCGGTGGCAGAGCCCACGTGGTCAGCCCCAAGAGTGGTCATTGAGCCCCAGGTCCCAAGATCCTAACTCCCCATCAGGCTGGTCAAATTGCTCTGGGAACACAGGGTTGGGGGTCTGGCCTGAGGGTGGGGGTAGGGGAGAGCCAAGTGAGCCCCACTGCATCCTTGAGCCAGAGTCCAAAGGCCTGGATCTGCCCTTGGGCCCCCATCCCTGGGGCTGGTGTCAGACCCCACCAGAACCTTCTTTTGACCTTTCTTTTATTCTTAGCTCTGTTCCAAAAATTACAAATGTGTTTGTTCTCTTCTCCCCATGTCCCCCCTTCGAATTACTCAGCTGCTGCTCCGGCTGCAAGGCCTGGAACAGATTTAGTGCAGCCAAAAGGCTGTCACGAGTTGCGTATTTCAGAGGAACTTCCTGAAGAAAGGATAAACAGCCTGACCTGGGATGGGAAAGAGTGCTGGGGGAGGCATCATGTGACAGAATGTGCCTCCTGCCAGAACAAGCCCAGCAACCAGGGTTGTCTAAATGAGGCCTCACGTGGAAGCAGTGTGATCTCTGGGCATGGGGGCCCATGGGCTGGTGTCTGGGTGGGCCAGTAGTGTGCATGCTGACCCTCATGTTGTAGATCTTAGACATCAGAGAAGGAAGAGTCTTGGTCCATCTGTGCCTAGTGTGCTCCGTGTAAGTCCTGCCTCTGCCTTGGATTTTCTGTGTGACCCTGGACTTGTCAGTCAACCTCCATGAGCCTCAGTTTCCTCAAGTGCAAAATGGAGATTAGATGAGTACCCTCTTGTAGAGGTTGTTGTGAGGTTTACCTGAGGCAGTATTTACTAAGCCTTTCCATTCCTCTCATCAGCCAAGTTCTTTGTCCCAGGCCTACACACTAGGTTTCCCCTCTACGTAGAATCTTCTTTCCTTAGCCCTTTGCCTGGCTGGTGCTTTCTCATCTTTCAAGCCTAAGTTTAAGTGTCAGCTCCCCAGAGCAGCCTTCTTTGACCACCCAAAATAGCCTGTAAATCTTCACTGCATTCTTATTCTCCATCACAGCTTCCTTTTATCTTCTCAGCCTTTCTCACTCTCTGAAATGATCTTGTTTGTTTCCCTGTTTAACTGTCTTCTCCATGGAGGGTAAGCTCCATGAGGGCAGTGGCTGTACCAGTCTTGGCATGCTGTATCACCAGTGCCCAGACAACGCCAGGCACAGAGTAGCCATTCAGTACGTATGTGTTAGGGGAAGGAACACATCGTCATCACCATCACCATCACCATCATCATCACCATCATCATCATCATCACTATCATCATCATCACCATCATCACCATCACCATCATCATCATAGCAGGAATCATGGTGTAGTAATAGTAATAATAATGAATGCTTATTATGTGCCAGGCACTATTTTCTAAGCATCTTACATGTGTTAACTCATTTAGTTCTTAAAGATAACCTTATGAAGTAGGTACTGCTGTTATCACATTCGATAGTTGAAGAAACTAAATAACTTGCCTAAGGACCACAGTTGATAAGGGTGGGATCTGGGATTCAACCCCTGCTCCAGAGCCCAAGCTCCTAACCTGGTTAACCTCTCCATGAGTGAATGAGGCGAGCAAGCCTGGGAACGGGCAGGGAAATGGTAGCTGTTTTATTATTGCTGTGATTGTCACTGTCATGGTCAAATCATGAAGCTTGCAGCCTTTCCACTGCCTGCCTGGGCCACAGGGTCAGAGAGGCTGGGACCTGCAATGGGATGCTGCCACCAGTGGCATAGACCAGCCTCAGGGCTGTGTCGCAGGGGTTGGATGCAGGAGGCTGTCATGTGGGGCTGCTGTCCTTGGTTGAGGGGACAGGTGTCTCTCAGGTGGACAGCCCTGTGCCTGAGGTCACACGCTGATGGGCAGCAGAGCCCAGACTGCGACTCCCAGGGCAAGGCCCTTTCCATTATCACCTGCTGCCTGCTCATAAACTTCTGTGATTCTTGGAGTCAGTTCTGTGATTCTTGGGCATCTGCTATCCCAGCAATACTGAGAGGATCTGGCGGGGGAGGGATCTGAGAGGGTCTGGCAGGAGGGTGATGGTGGTGCGGCTCTGTGTGTGGAGCAGCTTTCTACCGTGAAGATGGCTGAGCCCAAGGTGTTGACTAACCGTGTCCCCTCTCTGCCTCTCTGCTCCACCCACGCTCCTCACTTCAGATAATCGACAGTGAGAATGAAGCCCTCCTGGCAGCGCTCACCAAGACCCTGGATGACATCCCTGAAGATGACGTGGGTCTGGCCGCCTTCCCGGCCCTGGATGGTAGAGATACACCATCCTGCACTTCGCCTGCCCCCTCATCTGCGCCCTCCAGCCCTTCCCTGGAGAGGCCCCCAGCCCCAGCCCCTGAGGTGGATGAGCTCTCGCTGGTGAGAACCTGTTTCCAGCTGAAGTGATGGTGGTGGCCTGGGATATGGTGTCTGGTTGTAGGGTGGTAGGCGCGGGGAGACCAGCTCCAGCCCCTGCAGGGGTCTGCATGCATCCCTGGCCACAGGATTCACGGCAGACAGCCTGGACTGGGTGTGGGAGGCCTTCCTTTTCCTACCTGTACAGCCGGACTAGCCACGGAGGCTTCACCTGTACTCTGTGGGCCTTTGGGATTTCATGGATTGGCTTTAATTGTGTGTTATACCCATGAAATTAGGTGCAAACATTTTCCTAAGGATTATACATGCACACGCAGTAAGGACTCAAGGAGGAGACGTGGACAGTTAAAAGCAAAACCTCAAACCCAATTCACAATTGCTTTTTCCTTCCCCAGACGTAACCATGGTTACTGATCTGTTGTGTGACTTTCCTCTTCCATCTTTTATTTTTTACTACAAAAAGGAGCCTCCATTATACTCTGCTCTGCGCCTTGCTTTTCTCAGTCAACTGAGAAACTTACAGACGAACACAGGTAGCTCTGTTTCATCCTTTGTGTTGGCTGCATAGCGTTCCTTTGTAAGGATATGCGGTCACTTGTTTAACCAGCCCTCTGGTTGATGGACGTTTGTGTTGTTTCGACTCCTCTCTTGTTCCAGTGCTGCACTCACTGTCCTGCTACAGGCCTTTGCCACGTGTAAGTGGATGAATTCCTAGAAGTGGAATTCCTGGGTCTATGGATACGTGATTTCTCAGTTTAGACAGATACTTCCAGATTGCCCTCCAAAGAGGTTGGACCGGTTTATACTCGCACCAGCAAGGTCAATGCTGTCTGTGTGAGTATATGTGGAACGTGGACATGCGAATGTGGAATTGCAGCTTTCTGGGGAGAAGGTCTCAGCTTTCATGAGATTCTCAAAGGGGTGTAGACCTCAAAAGTTGCTGAAAGCAGTTGCCCTTGGCTCAGGCTGAGGGTGCCGGAAGCTGAGAGGTCATGGGGTGTGAAGTCCATCTTCACTCGGCCTGTCTTGGGCTCCTCACCTTGGTCCCATCGTTCCTGGGGGCTGATGAAACTCAGCTGGAAAAGCAGAGACTGTCGGAGCTGGGAGGGGTCTGAGGGCTCTTGGGTCCTGGAGAGCTTGAGCTCGAAAGGCTTGGTGACCATCAAGCATATCTCTGGGGAAGCTGAGACCCAGAGTAGAGAGGGCCTCTCCCGTGGTCACACAGCAAGTTGGTGTGCCAGCGAAGACTAGAACCCAGGTGTTCTGACTCCTGGCCAGGGCCTCTTTCCTTCTTTCCCGCTGCCTTCAAGTTCCCCAAAGCAGTGTGAAATGTCTAGTAAGCCCTACTATGTGCTGGGCACAAGAGTGTGTTCAGATGTGGCTCCTGCTGATAGGGGTCCTGCTTCCTTTCAGACTGGAGTCAGACTGCCTGGTTTGAATCCCAGTCCCACCAATTAATGCTTGTGTGTCCCTTGGGCGCCTAACCTCTCTCTGACTCAGCTTCCTGATCTACAAGACGGGGTTAATAGTGGTGCCTGTCTCACAGGCTGTTAGGAGGAACACAGCAGGCGATACATGTAAAGCACTCAGAACAGCCCCTGGCACATAGAAGTTGCTCAATAAATGCTATCTAAGTCATAGTTCTGGCACAACCATTAGTAGTAGTAACAACAAGAGGAATTCTCGCTGCCGTTTCTGTACAGGGCTCTGGAAAGGGACCAAAACCCAGGAGAGGTAGAGAGCGCCCCCTGCTGGTTCCTCTGCTTATTTGGTTGTTATTAATAACAGAGGTGTTGTTGAGCACTTCTGTTTCAGGCTTTGTGCTGGGCACACAGAAAACAGACTTACCATCTAGACCATCTAGAGCATACTGATAGACTTCTAGAAAGGCCCTGAGAAGTTATCCAGACGCCCGGTTCTTAACCTGGAGTCATGGATCCCAGAGAGTCCTCCAGTGGACTAATGGGGACTCATGGACCTCTACGTATCTGTGCATTTTTCTGAGGTCAGCAGCTTCTATTGTAATCTTAGAGGGACTCCTAAGTCAAAAAAGGTGGTTCAGATCCAGTCATTTAGTCTACCTGCCCCTGTTATACCAATGGAGAAATTAAGGCCCAGAGAGGGAAGGGACTCGCCCAAGGTCTCAGTGAGTTGGGACTGAGCTGGATCAGAACCAGATCCCTTCCCTCCAGCCCAAGGATCTTTTCCTGTCCGCGTCAGAGAATCACAGACATGCGTGTGCTGGTGTGAGGCGGTGGGGATCCTCCAGCCCCTAGGGGAGTGTGGAATGGCCTTTTCTTTGGCACTCCTTGCTGGGGTGACCTGGGGGGCATGTCCCCCAAGGAAACACTTGGTGCTGCAGCAAAAGCCCTTCATGCTTCCCGACTTGTTCTTAGCCCCGGCTGGTAGGATCCCTGGTGGAACTTCCAGGTGCTCTTAGCTCCCTGCTCTCTCGGCTGGGGTACACTGCACTTGCCCTCCGGGTGCAGAAGTGTAAGAGTCTCAGCAATTTTTATAGAAAAATTAGAAAAGCCAGACGAGCTTAAGTGTAGTATGCTTCCCCTTGTGTAAAAACAACTGGGTGGGTTGGAGGTGACATGTACATATATATTCTTGTATGATTGAATCCCACCTCATCACCGGGTCGCAAGAAAGTGGTTAATAGTAGTTGCCTCTAGGAGGGAGAAAGGGGACCTTGGGCAGGAGGGAAACTTGCTTCTAATTGTCCACCTGTTAGTATTTGTGGTATATATTTTTTTCACCATTTACAAGTATTACTTATTTAAGAAATTAATTTTTTAAAAATCAATATGAATAAGCAAAAAAAAAACCAAAAGAGAAGTCAGCTGGAATCCCACACCAAAGAACCGCTGTGGGACCTAACCTTCCAGATTGTGTCTGTGTGTGTGCATGTGTACATGTATGTACTCCAAGTATATACAGAGTGCCCCCATAAAGTGTCTACATCATATTTTAACAGTAGAATGGGCAGACATTACTCGAGATCTGTTTGGGTTTCTCAAAGTCGTACATATTCTTCTTGGGTTATTAACTCTGAGAAGGATTTACATTTTATTGGGATACTTGTGTGTGTTTGGGATTGTTAGACAATCTGCTTCTATACTTCACATATGGAACACATTCTAGGTTGTTAAATGCCACGGCCCTGTGATGACCCGGGGTCAGGGTGTGGTCAGTCCCGAGGGTCTAGCTCTGGGTCTTGGCCTCTCCCTGTCATGCTCTTCTCTATGTCTTCTGGCTGTGGCTCAGCCCCAGCTCCTCTCCTCTCTGCTTCTCCTGCAGCTACAGAAGCTCCTCCTCGCCACATCCTCCCCGACGTCAAACTCCGACACCCAGAAAGAAGGGTCTGCCTGGCGCCAGACAGGCCTCAGGTCTAGAAGTCAGAGGCTGTGTGTCAAGGTATTTCTGCACATGCCCCAAAACCCACCCGGACCCCCAGGTGGCCTCTGGGGCTGCAAACTTCAGCTCTTGCTAGGGAGGATCAAATTCAGTCCACTTCCAGTGACCCTCCTTGCTCCTCACAATGCCTTGTAGCTGGTGTGCTGGACACTTCTTGAGACCAGGGCCAGTTTGGGGTTCTAGAAGGAGCCCTGGACTTTCTCACACACTTCCATGTTGCAGGCACTGTGTTAGACTATGGGTGAGAGCAGGGACGGGGAAGATGTGGCTGCCTTCAGGGGCTCATTCATAGGGTGATAGAGTGAACCATAAGATCCTCACCCGTTGAGGAGACCACAGCAGGGAGCTTGGGTTTCTTTTGGGGGAAGCCATTGGAGAGTTGAGAGCTCTATCACGTACACCCAGGGGTGAAGCAAGTCCCTTTTCCTCCTTGGGCTCCATCTTCTGAGACTTCCAGGAGAGGCTTAATAGGTGATTTCCCAGTGTTCCTGTTACTCAAAGCCTGCATCAACCCTTCCCGTTTTGTCCCTGGACACTCCTGCAGGGGACTGTTGCATACCATCCCACACCCTCGAGGCAGAATCAGGATGGCATCGTCTCAGAGAGTGGCTCAGTGTAGGAGCCTCTCCCCTGCCTGGGCTCCCCTCGGGTTGGCCCCTGCCCCTGTGCCCCCTCCCTGCTTGTCCTGGCTGACCTCTCAAAACAAAGGTCCACCCCTCGTGTTCCATTCTGTCAGCGGGCAGCAGCTAAGCTCCTTTGTGAGCCAGCTCCCTGTCCTCTGGGAAGCCAGGAAGCACCCCAGGGAAGTGAGACCCACCTGACAGCCATTCCAGCCCCAGCAAAGAGACCGTTGCACTGGGAGGAAAGCCCCCGCGTGGACAAGTCGGGGCAGATAAGGCTGAAGAGAGATGTTAGCCGGGGCCAGATTGCAGACAGCCCCAAATACCTGGCCAGGGGGCCTCCCCTTTATCCTATGGGCACTGGGAAGCTACTGAATTTTTCTATTCTTTTTTTTTTTTGACAGCTTTAGGGAGGTGCCACTTACATATCCTAAAAGGCATCTGTGTTAGAAGTACAATCAATGATTTTTAGTAAATTCACAGAGTCATGCAGCCATGACCGCAATCCAGTTTTAGAACATATCCATCATCCCAGAAAGATCCCCTTGCCCCCGTTTACAGTTAAGCCCTGTGCCCACGCCCAGCCCCAGGCAACCACTAATGTACTTACTGGCGCAATTGCTGAAGGCTGTAGTGCAGGGGAGCAGGATGGGCAGGGCAGGGCTTTGGCAGTGAATCTGGAGGGGGTGAAATCCGTGGCTGGATGGCCTGTTAGGACACTGGTCATTCCTTTGTTCCATCACCTGAGCACTGCCAGGTGCCAGGCTCTGTGCTGGCAGCTGGGGATAAAGTGGATGAAACCTGGCAATTCCAGTGATCCGGGTAAGACACGCTGGGCCCTGCCAGTGGCTGCAGGGGTGGGGCAGAGGGCAGGAGCAGCGTGGGCCTCGCTCCTCACTCTGGCCTCTTTCCCTCTCTAGATGGACAGCACCCAAGACAAGAAGGTCCCCACGACGCAGTCTCAGAGCCGGAGTTGTACAGAACTGCATAAGCACCTCACCTCCATGCCGACCTGCCCCCAGGCTAAAGCACGCTCCCCAGATAGGGGCCTGCAGCCGCCACCCACCCTGAGCCCCCGGCTCCCTGCCAAGGAGGATGAGGAGCCGGGTGAGGACTACCCGAGCCCCCAGGCAGCTCCAGCCTCCCCCCGGGACTCCCCAGCGCCGGGCAGGGCAGGCCCCGGCGGCCAGGTCTCCCAGGAGGACATGCAGGCCATGGTGCAGCTCATTCGCTACATGCACACCTACTGTCTCCCCCCGAGGAAGCTGCCCCCACAGGCCCCAGAGCCAGCCCCCCAGCCCTGCAGCAGCCCCTCAAAGCAGATCAGACCCCGGCCCCGGTCCCAGCACCCTTCCAAAGCCACATGGGCTGAGTTCTCCATCCTGAGGGAACTTCTGGCTCAGGATGTCCTCTGTGATGTCAGCAAACCCTACCGCCTGGCCACGCCTGTCTACGCCTCCCTCACGCCCCGGCCCCGGCCCAAAGATGGCCAGGCCTCCCCTGGCCACCAGTCCCCCGTGGAGGAGGTGAGGGTCGCAGCTTCGCCCAAGAGCACCGGGCCCAGACCCAGCCTGCGCCCCCTGCGCCTGGAGGTGAAAGGGCACGTCAGCCGGTCTGCCAGGCTGCAGCGGGAGGAGGAAGAGGAGGAGGAAGGGGAGGAGGAGGAGGAGGAAGAAGAAAAAGAGGAAGAGGAGTGGGGCCGGAAAAGGCCAGGCCGAGGCCTGCCGTGGACCAAGCTGGGGAGGAAGCTGGAGAGCTCGGTGTGCCCCGTGCGGCGTTCCAGGAGACTGAACCCCGAGCTGGGCCCCTGGCTGACGTTCACCGATGAGTCTGAGTCGCGGGTCCCGGCGGAGCCCCAAGGAGCTCTGCCCTCGTTGCGCTTGGCTCCTGGGGCCTATGACATGGAGGGGGAGCTGGGCAGCCCCACGGACGAGGACAGTGGCCAAGACCAGCAGCTCCTACGGGGACCCCAGATCACAGCTCTGGAGAGCCCCTGTGAGAGTGGGTGTGGGGACACGGATGAGGACCCCAGCTGCCCGCGGCTCTCTTCCAGAGGTAGTTGGAGTCGGTGGTCTGCAAGAGAGGGGGCAGGGATGGGGTGTGCATACCCCACTGCGCTGGGAGCCAGGAGCCCTGTGTTGGGCAAGTCCCTTCCCCTCTCTGGCTCTCACCATCCCTTTCTGTACAATGGGCCAGTTGGGCAGATCTTCAGGAATCACCCAGACATCTCTGAGTTTTTCATCATGCAGGGGCCAGGCGCCACTTAACGAACAAGGAGCCAGCTGCCTGCCTTCACGGGGCTTGTGTTTCAGGGTGGGAGATAGGCAATCAAAAAGTGAATAAGAAAGGCGGATAACTGCAAATTGTGAAAGGTGCTCTAGGGAAGACTTTCTGAGTGATGAAAGGAAGGTGTGAGTCTATAAATTCGGCTCCACAGTGAAGTTGAGTTTTAAGTGGTGACAATAGTGGTGATAGTAACAACAACAGTTATCTATTTTGTTTACTGGGCCAGCCGTGGTCTAAGACTTAACACAGATTAGCCCTCACAGGAAGCCTGTATGGTAGGTACTGTTATAATCCCCATTTTAATACAGAAACGGAGGCACAGAGATACCTAGTGATCAGTTCAGCTGGGTATCCTGTATCATCCATCTGTGGCAGAGCCCACAGCTCTGGCCTTGGGAGCTGGAGGTCTGCACCACTGTGCTACACCAACTGGCCAGAAGGGGTCGCCCTCGTACCCATCTGCTCTGTCTGCAAAATTGAATCGCTCCGCCAGCCGTTAATGTTGCTGAGACCCCGGGAATGAAGGTGGATTCGAGTTGTTCCTGCCCTCACCTAAAAATGGCAGGGGCTTTTGGGTCACATGCCTGAAGGGAGCTGTGCTTGATACCACTGAAGTTTAGGGTCTCCTACAGAGGGAAACATCTGTTAGTGATGCCGTGTTGAGGAATCTTATTTTTTCCTTTTTTGTCTTCTTTTCAGACTCTCCCAGGTGCCTCATGCTGGCCTTGTCACAAAGGTAAATTTTTGGAATTATTGGTTTATTATTCCAGGAGACTTTGTCCTGTGGGGTGTGTACATCGGAGGGGCTGGGTGGTTCGTCAGGCCCTGAGCCCACACCCCTGCCCTGACTGCCATGTGGGGCCCTCAGGAGCTAAGCTCCCTTACAAGGGAGTTTGTTTTTAAAATCTGGTCTCTGCAGGCCTTGGAGAGAGATGGGAAATCAAGGCCTCAGGCCATTTCATAAGCTGTCCTTTCCAGGACCTGGGAAAGAGTTCATTTCTCCACAGGGAAAAAGCTGATAATGCTGTGTGGCTTTGGGCAAGTCTCTTCCCCTCTCTGGGCCTCAGGCGCTCCATCTGTAAAATAAGGAGGTTGACGATGCATGTCCTCTCTCCACCCTCCAGCAAATCTTTCTTACATCTCCTAGAACAGCTATGCAGCTTTGAATTCTTCCAGCAGCCAGGACAGGGGGTCCCCAGCAAATTCTCCCCAGGCCTCACTTCCGTGGGCAGCAGGACCGGCATCTGTCACAGTGTCCCTTTGCCCTCCTTGCGTGCTCGGGGAGCTGGAGCCTACTGCTGACGGGCCTCTCTTTCTGTCCTCCCTGCCCCCGCCAGTGATCCTCCTTTTGGCAAGAAGAGCTTTGAGCAGACCCTGACGGTGGAGCTCTGTGGCACAGCAGGTGAGCCGGGGGCTCGGCTGGTGAGGTGTCCTTGGTGGAGCTGGCAAGACCCCTGGCAACGAGTCCCCACACTGAGCAGCCCCTCGGGCAGCGAGGGGTGCCCCATTGAGCCCTCCCCGCCTCCACTGCCCAGGCTGCACCGGGTCTTGAGATACACAATGAGGGTGTATAAGGAGGAGAGTCAGGCCCGGCTCAGCCACTCAGCTGCTGACAACGGGCACGTGAGCTGATGTGAAAAGAAAGAGATACACGTCTTCCCCTGAAGGAGCCCGCAGCCTCAAGTAGGAGGCAGACTCACACCATGACGAGTACTGTTCCATACGCACTAGTTCCAGTATGTGCAAGAGCTTTGGCAGCACCGAGGAAGGGCGGGCAGGGCGGGAGTGTGGCCTGGGAAGATTCGCAGGGCACCCACAGCAGGGCCACGTGAGCTGGGTTTGCAGGGTGAGTAGAAGTTGGAGAGACAGAGAAGGGAAGGGTGTCCCTGGCAGCAGAATCGGCAGGAGCAAAGGCATGGAAGAGTGAAGGTCCAGGTGCATCTGAGAAGACTGGTCACCTGGTGTGGGGACGTGGCAGAACTGGGGGGTCAGGAGACAGCAATCACGAAAGGCCCAGAGGAATGCCAGGCTGAGGGTTTGATCTGGATCCTGTAGGCTTCAGGAGTCCCAGAGAGGGAGAGATCTCGGGCATTTAGCAAGTTCCCTCTGCTGCATGGGGGAGGATGAGGCCAGGGTCAGATGCAGGAGCATGAAGGGCACTATGGTGGTCAAATCCAGGTGGGAGGTTTTACCCGTGGTGCCTGCCCCCTCTCCACCCCCGGGAGACATCAGAGGCAGGGAGGAACAGTGGGAGGGCTTGTTCAATGACTGGATGTGGAACAGGAAGAGATATCTTGGATGATCTGGAGGCTTCAGCTAATTGCCAGGCTACCAAAGGGTTGGTAAGTGGATTTCATCACATGCCAGCTCTGAAGAATTGAAGATGGACGGTGTGAGAAGGAGTCTGAGGCCACATCCAGGCTCAGCCAGCAGTGCAGTGATCGATTAGTGATGTCTGCCATCCACTGGGTTGAGGGAGTGGGGGCACATATGCTACTTCTTTGCCATCTCAAACTAGGGTCTCACTGTCCTTTGGAGGAGCGATCTGTCTCCACCTCATGTTTCTCCTCTTGCTTGGGTAGGACTCACTCCTCCCACCACGCCTCCATACAAGCCCACAGAAGAGGACCCCTTCAAGCCGGACATCAAGCACAGCCCAGGCAAAGACATAGCTCCCAGCCTCCCCTCCCCCGAGGGCCTGCAGCTTGGGGCCGCCACAGGGGCTGCCCACAAGCTGCCAAAGAAGCACCCAGAGCGGAGTGAGCTCCTATCCCACCTACGGCATGCCACAGCCCAGCCAGCCTCCCAGGCTGGTCAGAAGCGCCCCTTCTCCTGTTCCTTTGGAGACCACGACTACTGCCAGGTGCTCAAGCCAGAGGGCGCCCTGCAGAGGAAGGTGCTGAGGTCCTGGGAGCTGTCTGGGGTGCACCTTAAGGACTGGCCCCAGCAAGGTGCCCCGCAGGCTGAGGCGCAGGCCTCCGGCAGGGAGGAAGACAGAAGCGGTGATGCCGGTGCCTCCCCTAAGAACAGTGTGCTGTTGAGAGACCACGAGATCCGCGCCAGCCTCACCAAGCACTTCGGGCTCCTGGAGACGGCCCTGGAGGACGAAGACCTGGCCTCATGCAAGAGCCCCGAATACGACACCGTCTTTGAGGACAGCAGCAGCAGCAGTGGCGAGAGCAGCTTCCTCCTGGAAGAGGAGGAGGAGGACGATGAAGAAGAGGACTCAGGGGTCAGCCCCCCTCGCTCTGACCACTGCCCCTACCAGAGCCCACCGGGCAAGGCCAGTCGGCAGCTCTGTTCCCGCAGCCGCTCCAGCTCCGGCTCCTCATCCTGCCGCTCCCGGTCACCAGCCACCCGAAGGACCTTCAGGTATGGATGGGTGGCCTCAGGAGGGATGGTGGGCAGCTGGGGACCCCAGATCCCAGGCTGACAGGGGAAAGAGGAGCTCTGAAACTGGGACTGTGTCTCCCTGTGTGGCCTGTGTCCGGTCAGAGGCCCTGGAGGTGGTCTTCTTGGGGGGGATCTGGGCAAGTCCTGGAGGCAAGAGAAGCCTGCTGTGTGATGTCAGGAGTGGCCCAAATCTCCTGGCCTCGGGGGAGAAAGAAAACTCACTTCCTGGCCATTTGTGGCCGTATGTCTAGATGAACGTGCCCCTTGTTCATCTGTGTTTTCTGCTTTGATATTTGTAAAATGGATAGGCTTTTGTGTAAACGTATGTTTACCCACACAGTTAATAACCTATGTGGCATTTACATGTAAAAGAAAGATTAGCGTAATTCTAATCTGGGCTCTGAAAAATACCTGGATTTAAAGCAGTGATAAGGTTTATTCCCATTTCTCGGTCCTGCTGAGTGGCAGTGGGGCTTCCAGTGGTCAGCCATCCCCAGGGAGCTCCTTTACCTTTGCACAGGGATGTTGTGTCATGAGCCTGTGTGCTCATACCGTCTTGGCTCACTGAGCCGGACTGCAAGAAGGAGCAGGTCCAGAAGTCATCGGTGAGCAGGGCAGAAAGAATGGAGGTTTGGTGTGTTTTGGTGGAGATGGGTTGCTTCTCTGCCGGATCACAGCAGGACCTGACTCTTCTGGGGGAGGCCTGAGGAGGGTCTGTGCAGGTCCCAAACCCTATGCCTAAGATGCACCCAGGTGACCACTAGATGGTGCTCCTGGGTCCAGCACAGTGCCTCAGAGTCACCTGGAGGGCCTGTTACCAGCAGATGGCTGGGCCCCACCTGCTGAGGGTCTGAATCTGTAGGTCTGGGTGGGGTGGGGGTGGGGGTGGAGAATTGTATTTCCAACCAGTTCCCGGGTGGTGATGATATCACCAGAGTGCCATACTCTGAGAACCAGAATTCAGGTAATAGAAAGATAGCTTTTCTTATACAAATTCAGCTTTATATTTACATATTTACACCAGCACCTCTTAACTGTTTGAAAAGCTGATTAGGGCAAAGGCTCCTGTACCCATTAAAATGTGCAAAGACATCTATCTGGGCATTCAATTTCAGGGGTTTATGGGTGCCCCAGACCCTAATATTAAGTCCTGAACTGTCTGTGACTCAAAAGCGAGTTCCCCAGCGTTTTCTCTAAAAGCCCTTCCTTCTATATAATAAGGCAGGACGATGAGTCAGAGCCGGCTTCCATCAGACCTCTCTGAGCCCTCTTCCCGCCTCCATCCTCCTTTCCCTGCAGGTCATTGTGCTAAATAACTCAGTGTCCACCTTAGGCAGTTTCTTCTGCAACGTTCGCTCAGAAGCTACTAAGGTTCTCTTCCTGTTGAGACTAAGGTTCTCTTTTTGTTGAGACACATCCGCCAGGCTGGCCTCCTTCTCCTCCTGGCCAGCGCAGGCGTGTGGGCGTGGGCATGCACTTACTGCAAAGAGTTGGGACCCTCTTTAGAAACCCCCATAGGTTCTCCTTTTCCTCTTCTGGCTTTTGGGCCAGGTTCAGGGCTGGCTTTCTCTGCCCACTGGAGAAAGTTAATTGGTCAACTTGGGTCCTGTTCAGCTGCCTGGCGGGGCTCGACGCATGGTAAACTGGTCATCAGCCTTGTCCAGACTCACACTTCTTCACCTGTGCTTCCGCTACCAAATGTCGGGCAACAGGAAGGGTTTTGAGCTGGTTTAACAACACAAACCCCAGACCCTACAGTACCTTCCAGCCACTCTCAGCTCTTCTGGTGGGGCAACTGCCAATTCCATTGCAAATGGAGGCTAGTACTATTATTGTGTAGCACTTACGTTTGCAAGTCACATCCCCTCCTCTTACCCTATTTGAGCTCTACAGACGCCCTTATAGGGCGTGTCTGCCTCTTATCCCCATTTTATAGATGAGGAAGCTGAGGCTCAAAGAGATTCAAGAGAAAAACATAGCAAGCAATTATTGAAGTTCCTAGGCTGAGCATTTCCGTGCATTTTCTGATTTGATCCTCACAAATGGCCGAGGAGGCAGATGCAATTGATTCTCCCTATTTGACAGAAGAAGAACTGAAGCTGAGAGGGGTTAAGTAACTGGCCCCAGGTCACCCAGCAGGGCAGTGGTAGAGCCAGGGTTCCAATGCAGGCTGTCAGACTCAAGATCTCACACTCTGATCCTCTGAGCTGTATTCCCAAGGGCACAGACAGTATGTGGCCAAGTGGGACTCACCCACACCCCACACGCCATGCTTCTTCCACTCCAGCAGCCCGGCTGGAGGAGGAGAGGGCAGTGTGCAGACAGGCAGGAAGGCACAGGCGTGCGGCACCCAGGATTCTCCTCGGGTTGTGCATCCAGACAGGCTAACCCAGTAGCTGGACTGGACATGGGGGCTATGATGGCAGGGGTTGCTTCTTGGCCAGGCACCAACCACTAGAGAGCAGAGGGTCTAGGGTCAGCAGACCTCCTTCTAGCTCTGGCTTCCCCTCTGTCTAGCTTTAGACAAATCCCATGTTGAACCTGAGCCTCGGGGTTTTCATCTGGAAAATGGGGAAACAAGACCTCATAGGGTTGGTTTTCTTTCATCAGATCAAATACGATAATGAAGTGAAAGGGCCTTTCTACTCCTGAAGGCATAGAAAGGCAAGGTACAGGGGGTTATGATGAGCAATGCGGTGGGTCTCTGCAATCTAGTCCCAGAAGCTGGCAGAAGGCATGTGTCCAAGTATTCAGACCCACACACAGCCCTGGGCTGTCACAGCCCAGGGGAAAGCTGGGCTTCTGCAGGAGGGAGGTCAACGAGTTCTGCCCTTGTGAATGAGCCCTAAAGGAGCCTCCCTTGCCTCCTGGAGCCACTCCAGCCCCCGCCCCGCGTGGTCCCTCCCGAGAGTGAGTGCCTCTGCTTTGCTTGTTCACTAACAGATGTGAGAGCAGAGGGCCGTGTTCAGACGGAACGCCAAGCGTCCGGCACGCCAGGAAGCGGCGGGAAAAGGCCATTGTAAGTGATCTGGGGCCCGGGAGCCCAGAGCGAGTGGGGATGAGCAGGGGCGTCAGGAAGTGCCAGAGCTCTGTAGACCTGAAGTCCTTTGAGGCCGTCTGTGGCCTGCAGAAGAGAATCGTATTTCTCTCGTTTAAAAAAGCTCAAGGGTCGCCAAAGGGCATCCAGGGTGGAGTGCGGCCAAGGGACTGGCTGTGAGGCCTGCAGGTGGTGGTGGTGGAAGGCTCAGCATCAGGGGGCTTGGCGAGGCCAAGAGGGCAGGCTGTGGTAGGGGGAGCAGCGCCAGGACCACCAGCTCACCAACCACCCTGCCATCACCTTCTGTGTGACCTTGGGCAGGTCCCCCAGCTACCCTGAGCCTCAGTTTACTCATCTGTACACAAGGGAGTTGGCCCTTGAGCTTCCTGAGGGTCCCCCAGTTTGGTCAGGGCTAAGGGACCGAGAGAGCCTGTCCCTTGCTCCCCACCTGCCTCCCTAATTGCCCCCCAGACTTAGTCCACAGGCCCAGGCCAAAGCACCCCACAGGGAAAACTTGTCAGGAAGCTGCAGTGGGGGCTGGAGCCAGCCCCTCCATGTCACTAGAAAGGAGGGAAGGGAAAGTAAGGTGGAAGTACAGAAAGACAGACAGACTGTCACTTGATTGCTTTCCCCTGTGATGGGTGCTTTGGGACGGGGGTGGTAGGACACATGGGGTATGCACACCCCAGAGGTACACAGCTGTCGGCAAGCAGGTACCTAAAACCACAGGCTGCGCCTGAGTGTCTTCTTGGAATCCATGCGACCATTCAGCAGTTGTGACATGCCTGGCAGTGTCCTAGGCCCTGGACAACAACCATGAACCAGACGTATGAGGTCCCCACTCCCATGGTTGGGGCAGAAGGGAAAGACAGCAGACTCATAAACAAGGAATAAACGCTGTAATTACAGATTGAGAGAGTGCTGGGAAGTTAATCACGTCACGACTGAAACGTTTGAAATAAACAGTCGTGTTTTGACTGTTGGGGAGGATGTATTTACATGGTGGTCTGGGAGGGACAGGTTCAAGGACCTGGGAATGGAGCCAACCAAGTAAAGATTTGGGGAGAACAATGGAGCAGAGGCAGGAAGAGGCACTGTGAATTCTGGGAGCTTCGAGGAGGCTGGGGGAGGGGATTTCTACATTGAGCTGAACCTGGGGGGATCCTAGGGTGGGATGCTCAGTCCCCATGACTGCTGTGGACCCCAGGCCTGTGCTGTCTTCCCCACCATCTGTGCTATGAGAATGAGATGGCCCCAGAATCACTAGCCTTTACTTGTTCCCAGAGAAAGCCTGTCCAGCCAGAACCTGTCAGTTTTGCCCCTGGGAGCTCAAGTTTCCAGGAACGCCCGGCTCGTTTCTGTAGCAGGTCAAAGCCTCTCTTCCAATGGCAGTGGCTTTAACTGGATCCCATCACAGACTGGAGAGGAGAGGAGGGGAGGTTCCAACCGTCTTTCCCCCACCCCTTCCCTCTGCTAGGTTTCTAGGGGCCCTGGGCATGGCACTGAGATTGCCTGAAGATGACCTCATGGTCACAGTGTCTACACACTGTTCTGGCAAAACCAAAGATGATGGTGACTCCAGTAGCTCTATACCCCCCACCCCATCCCATTGCCTTCCTCCCAGCCCACTCTGACTCCCAAACAACCTGGCTCCCAATGCTTGCCCGTTACCTCCCTCAGCAACTTGCCTTTCTACCCCAACACCTCCCCCACTACCAAAAAGAAGTCTCAGACTCAAATACAGACGCTACTGAGTATGCAGTTATGTTAACGGTGATGAATCCCTCTCCTTTCCCCGCCTAGTCGCTGCTATTTCCTTCAAGTAAGCAGTTGCTTCCTTTGGGGGCCACTGCCCCATCTGACACTCAGCAGGCCCCCTCTTCCAACAAGGCAGGTCCTCTGAGATAGTGACTCCCATTGTCCTCTCTCTGACTCCAGCCCCAGCTGGTGTCACCTACTCAGCCAGGAGCCATGGACTGGGCACTGGGACTCCATGGGAGCCCGCCACCCCCGGGCCCCAGGAAACCGAGGCAATGACCGGGTCCCTCTCTGTCCCTCTTCTTGAGCAGGGCGAAGGCCGCGTGGTGTACATTCGAAATCTCTCCAGCGACATGAGCTCCCGTGAGCTGAAGAGGCGCTTCGAAGTGTTTGGTGAGATTGTAGAGTGCCAGGTGCTGACGAGAAGCAAGAGGTGAGTCAAGTCACGCTATTGCAGAGGTGGAGAGAGGGGAGGGGCAGAGGTCCTGAGCCAGAGCTGGCCACACAGAAGATGCCCGAGGAGATTTTTGGAACGAATTTGACAAAATCCACAGCATAGACCTGGAGAGCCAGGCCCAGAAAAAGGACCAATAATGATTGTACAGCCCAGGAATAGCAGCAAACACATGCTGGTGGTTTGCTGAATGCCAGGCAATTTCCATGCATTCTCTTGCTTAAATTTTCCAACACTCTTGTGACATATGCATCTTATTCCTTCTATTGCTCTCCTTTATGGAGGAGGTCAGACAAGTTAACTGAGCAGCTAGTTAGTGGCAGAGTCAATTCTGCAGCCCACGTGTCTGCTTTAGGTTCTTCACCCTGGAGCTTGTGTAGGGCAACAAACAGCCCCCGGGACTTGAAGGCACACTTGCATTGGGACCTCGCTGAGCTACAAGCCCCTCTCTGCTCACCTCCCTCCATTCCTCTGCAGCAGCCAGTCGTGGCCTTCCGTTCTAGGCACCTCTGGTTTTTCCTCGCTCACCTGGGAAAGCAGTGTTTAATCTGTCAGGGAATCTACAAGAATAGGTTGCATATAAATGCACCAATTAGATGTCAAAACTTTGTCAGTTTTGAAATAATTCTAAAGTATCTCCCATTATACTTGTTATTATTATAAATTATTAAAGTTTTAAAATATTAATTTAATAATAATTTTTAAAAGCTTCAATGAGAAAATAGTTTCTGCGTAAGAATAGTCACACACCTCACATCTATTAGGGTGGCTACAGAAAATAACAAGTGTTCACGAGGATGTGGAGAAATTGGAATTCTTGTGCACTGTTGGTCGGAATGTAAATTGGTGCAGCCAGTATGGAAAACAGTATGGAGGTTCCTCAAAAAATTAAACATAGGGGGCCGGCTCACTGGCATAGCGGTTGAGTGCACGTGCTCCGCTGCGGCGGCCCGGGGTTTGCAGGTTTGGAACCCCGGGCGCGCACCAATGCACTGCTTGTCAGGCCATGCTGTGGCGGTGCCCCATATAAAGTGGAGGAAGATGGGCACGGATGTTAGCCCAGGGCCAGTCTTCCTCAGCAAAAAGAGGAAGGTTGGCATCAGATGTTAGCTCAGGGCTGATCATCCTCACACACAAAAAAATTAAACATAGAATTATCATATAGTCCAGCAATCCCACTCCTGGATATATACTCAAAAGACTTGAAAGCAAGATCTGCAAGAGATGTTTGCATACCCGTGTTCATAGCACCATTTTTCACAATAGCCAAGAGGTGGAAACAACCCAAGTGTCCATCAACAGATGAATGGGTAAAGAAAATATGGTATATGCATATGATGGAATATTATTCAACCTTAAAAAGGAAGGAAATCTGTCACATGCTACAACATGGATGAACCTTGAGGACATTATGTTAGGTGAACTAAGCCAGTCACAAAAAGACAAATACTGTGTGATTCCACTCACATGAGGTATTTAAAGTAGTCAAATTCATAGAAACAGAAAGTAGAATGGCGGTTACCAGGGCCTGGGGAGAGGGGTAGGGTGGAGTTGTTCTCTAATGGGGACAGTTTCAGTTTTGCAAGATGAGAAGGTTCTGGAGATCTGTTGCACAACAATGTGAATATATTTAACACTACTGAACTGTACGCTTAAAAATAGTAAAGATGGTAAATTTTATGTTCTGTGTTTTTACCACAATAAACTCTTTTAAAAAAAGAGTCGTTACACAAATGGAACTGTTTTAAGTTCTGTGCAGTCTTCAAGATATGAAGTGAAGATAACGTGCAGAAACAAAGCAAGCAAATGAATCTCTAAAGAGAAGGGTAATGTGTTAAGATTTAAAAAATACACACAAGTCTCAGACATTTAAAGAGGCAGAAGTGTTCCCACTTTGGCCTGGTGCAGAGAGGTGTCCGGAAATGTGGTTCAGTTGAGTGTTTGTTAGGCACCTACTGTTGGTAAGCCTGTCCTGAGCCCTAGGGGAACGCCACATTGTCTCTGCCCTTGAGGAGCCTACGTAGCAGACGGATGTATCAGTCAGGATTCTTTCTCTCATTGTTCATGGAACTGAAGAGTCGAAGGGTAGAACTGACTTTAAGTCCCCCTTGCCTTGACATCCTTTTTAGGCATGCTTCCCTTATGGTGGCAAAGTGGCCGCCTACAGCTCTGAGCTCATCTCCTACCAGGAGAATCAGGAGTCTCCCTCAAGGTTCCAGCAAAGACCTGGGATGGATTCTTTGGGGTTCAGCTTTGGGTGACAAGCTCATCCTTGAACAAATCACTGTGGCCAGGGAGGGCCACCATCATGTGACTTACCCTGGCACCCTGAGCCTGGCTGAGCACGTGGTAGTGTTGGCAGAGGAAGGGGAGTGGATGCTGAGCAGGTGGTCATAACAGACGTCCACCATGAAGGATGAGGTGTGTACAAAATGCCAGCGATATTATGGAAGGTGAAGGCCAAGTTAGCAGCAGAGGAAGAGAAGGATACGGGAGTGGTAGGATGGGGGCATAGGCATGGCAAATCCAGGAAAGTGGGAATCATGAGGGAGACATGGGGTGGGGAGAGCATTGGCTTCAGCGCAGGAGGCCTGAGTTTGAATCCCTGCTCTGCCACTTGCCTTTGGGCAAATTCTGAACTCCACAGAGCCTGTCTCCTGATCCCTGAGGTGGAGATAGCAGCACCCACACAGGGTCGTCTGAAGAGTGTGTGAGGCAGTGCGTGCTGGCAGCACCTGGCAAACATTCAGTAACTTACCTGCTCTTGTTATTGTGACATTGCATAGGTCAGCCCAGTGGTTGTCATCATTTTTCTGGGGGGTCATGCACCACGGTTACCGAATCATTGTGGCTTTCTGCTCCTCATCTAGTAATGGGTGGTCTGACATTGTCGACCAAGCTGGGCCGGTAACATGGTCCCCTGCCCTCTCCCCCCAGAGGCGAGAAGTACGGCTTCATCACCTACCGGTGTTCTGAGCACGCCGCCCTCTCTCTGAGGAATGGGGCTGCCCTGCGGAAGCGCAATGAGCCCTCGTTCCAGCTGAGCTACGGAGGCCTCCGGCAGTTCTGCTGGCCCAGATACACCGACTACGGTAAGTACACAAGGCCCCGCCACATTCCAGTAAGACCCAAAGCACGAGGGGCAGTGACTTCCTTTAATGAAACTCAGACCTAAAGCCCCCTCTGGACACAGCTCCCATGCCTAAGCTCCAATGTGCTGGTTGGTATAACTTTGCAGCCATTTCGCCTGGAGGCTACCATCTGGTTCTTCTGGTCTCTGGTCCATCTTGTCCTGTCCCAGGACTGGTACCAAAGAGAGGAAGCCTCCTGTGGCCTCTTGGAAGAACCAGTCTTGTGTTCACCACCAGCTGGCAGAACCATGACTACCGTCTCTTTGACCTCACAGGGCCGGTGGCCGCCCTGCCCCCTGGAGAGGCATTCCATGGTGGCCCTGACAGGCAGCAGCCTTGTCCATTACTGGGCCACAATGAAACAATATTGTCACCATGCCCTCCCATTTGGTGACATATTGGCGAAGAAGGACGAAGAACTACGATTTAGGAAAGAATTATTGGTCGGGTAGAGTCCGACGCAGGCTCCATAGTACAGGGCAGAGTGTCAGGAGACCTAGAGGGTTCCAGGCCAGACAGCGCTCCACCTAGCTGCCTGTCCACTCCTGGGACCCAGTTCCGTATCTATACAATGAGGGCATCCTCGTTTGTTGGCCCCCTTATGTGACTTCTACAACGTTTCCTAATGGGCAAGATGCTGTGAGGGGAAGTAAACTTATAGGATATCGGACCTGGAAAGGCGCTCTGGGGTGCTCTAGTTCAGGTCCCCCCCGCATTCTACAAACAGGGCAGCCGAGGCCCTGAGACAATGCCGTCACAGCTGAGGTGTTCGTGGCAGAGTGGCGGATCTGATGCTCCCTGTCCAGTGCTCTCTGAGGCCTTGGGCCACATCCACTCCATGGGGCTGACCCTGGTGGCAGATTTTCTGATCGTCAGGCCTTTCTGAGTTGCTCACTGACTCCTCCACCTCCCTGCCCAGATTCCAATTCAGAAGAGGCCCTTCCCACGTCAGTGAAAAACAAGTACGAAGCCATGGATTTTGACAGCTTACTGAAGGAGGCCCAGCAGAGCCTGCATTGATAACAGCCTTAACCTTCGAGGAATACCTCAATACCTCAGACAAGGCCCTTCCAATATGTTTACGTTTTCAAAGAAATTAAGTATATGAGAAGGCAAGAGAGCGAGCGCGTGGAAGAACACACGTGAGAGAGAGAGAGAGACTTGAAACTGCTGTCCTTTTAAAAAAAAATCAATGTTTACATTGAACAAAGCTGCTTCTGTCTGTGAGTTTCCATGGTGTTGACCTTCCACTGCCACATTAGTGTCCTCGCTTCCCACGGGCTGTCCCGGGTGCGCCTCCACGTGCTGGGTCGGTCACCCATCTCCCCTTCCTTCCCGACCGACTTCCCCTCGTAGACGTGCGGCCGTGTTCGCCATAACATTTCTTGTCTGTAGTGTGTGATGATGAAATTGTTACTCGTGAATAGAATCAGGATTATAAACTCATTTTTAATTGAAGAAAAAAAAAGTATATCCTTAAAATAACGTATTTATGGCTCAGACATCCTGTGCCTGGATTACTGTATCGCTTCCTTGGTTTTTAACTATGCACTGTCGTGAGGTGTTTGCCACTGGGCTGCTGTGCTCCCTTCGCCAGAATGCTCCAGAGGTGCTGGGTGGCCCGTAGGCTGGTCCCCGGGGAGGCGCGGCCTGCAGCCACCACTAGGAGCGGTGGAGAATGGTTTCTGGGCCTTTTCTGCCAAGACCTGCCCTGTCTCTCATCAAGCACGTTTGGGTCCAGTTACAATCAGAGCCCTCATCTGGTGCCCAGCTCACGCTAGAGTTTGTGCCTGGCCATGAGCGCTCGAATCCTTGCGGGCTTGTAAAGAAGGCGGGTGAGCTGTGTTATTATTTTCCAGGGAAGGCAGGCAATGCTCCAAGAGGCAAAATGACTTGCCCGAGGTCCCACAGCCAGTGAGAGGGCAGAGCAGCGACCCAGCCCAGGCCTCCTGATTCCTGGTGCCATGCTCCTGCAGTCACTGGGGTAAAGATGCAAAGTTTCAGGGGCTGGTGGAGGTGAGTTCAGCTAAATTGGGCAACAGGCTAGACGCCCACGGGCTCATTTTAGGGGTTAAGTCAACAGCCAACTCGCCAGCATTAGGCGAGTTCAAGCTCTGGCATGTGTCTTGATCCAGGGGGTCCTGTGGTTTGCCTACACCTGTGGACATGCCATCAGAGCTTCAGTGACACACCTGGAGTGGCACAGACAGGCGATCTGGGAGCAGTCATCCTTTCTGGGCCAGCCACCAACCCATCCTACTCCCTTCAGTTTGTCTTTCCCTTTTCCTCAACTGTAAAATTGTTTGGGTGGCAGGGGGAACAGAAGGGAATGGGAGGGTTGGGCATGGTGGGTAAGACAATCTCCAAGCTCCTTTTCAACTTAGAAAACATTCTAATTGGGCTTTACCTTAAAATTTGTGTTCTTGAGTGATGTCAAAGCCATGTCCGACTTGGATGTTCTGCGGGTGCCTTGGAGGCCATTGGTGAGGGGGAGCGTGGCCAGCAGGATGTGAACACATTGCTTCTGCTTCAGACAGAGCAGCTCCCACTTGATCTCTTTCAGACATCAGGGTTCCTTAGGAGGTTTTTGTATTTAAAAGAAAAGAAAAAAGGTCCTGCTGCTTTAAAAAAAGTTTGAAACTGACTTATTAAACTAAACATGCTAATTTAATCTATTGCTAATGCCAGGCCTAGTCCTTTGAGAATTGGTAGTTGATTTTTTTTTTTTTTTTAAGGTGATCAAATACCTCAGTAGGTAAACTGGGCTGATGAGCTTGTCCTGGGTGGTGAGCATACTTCAAGCCCACGGAGAAGGCTGGAGGAGACAGGCTTTAGAAGGAATAGAGAATTTGAGCTCCTGTGTGTCACTAGACCTCTCAGGGCCCCCATTTTCTTTTCTGTGAAATGAACTGAGGGGGAGAATTAGGCAAGTTGATCTCCAAGGTCCCTGCCAGCTCTAACAGTCTTAGCTTCTGTGAAGGCAGTGTTTAGCTCAAGATGGCAAATACATGGCACATGTACCACTACTCCCATATCCTTGGCCAGTGGCAGACATAACTAATTGACCACAGCACTCATGTTCTTTGAGCCTGGTTGTGTTATTGGAATCCTCAACACAGTGCTCTGGGCAGCCATTACTAATTGATCAGAGTTGAACCTATTTGACATCCTGGTCTAATCTTTGAAATGTTTCCATCACACAAAAACATATGGTGGCTGGGTTTTGTGCTGGCCCATCCCTGTCTGTCATGTCCTGATCTGTGAGAGAAAACCCCCCTAAAGCCATTCCCTGGCACAGGACTCCCAATACTACTGTGATACACAACCCCGCTTGGGACTTGGGGTGGGGGTAGGGAGTAGAATAGTGGATGTGAACATGTTTGGGAAAGGCAGGGTTTATGAGGCTGCACCAACAAAAGGGACTTTCCACAGCACAGACCTGAACATTCTAAATTCCTTTTATAGCTCTTCACTGCCTAGCACACAGTAGGCGCACAATAAATGGTTATGGAATGGAACAGAGTAGAATTTAAATCTGTCTGCCGCCTCCCCTAAGTCCTCGTTTGCACCAAGGAGTAACCTGCGAGTTCGCCTGGAAGCCGGTAGGAAAGCACTCTGGATTCAGAGTTGGACTCAGTCACCTCTAAGCCCCTCCTCGTGGCCTCTTCCCAGCTGGCACTAGGCCCGAGGTTCAACCATGGGCAGGTGGTTCTTTAGGGTAAAGAAACGCAGATTTTTAATGAAGGACAAGTTTCTCCCTCCCCTCTTCCAGGTCAGATGAAGCTGCCCTTTCCCTTCAGATTAATACAGGGCACTTGAGGTTACTTAGACATTTGCCCTTGAGCAGAGCAGAGATCTGAGCGTTGGGATGTGATGTGCCTGAGGTCAGAGCTGGGGGCTGCTGATGGGAGAGGATGCCTTCCAAGGACATCGAGCAGTTTCTGCTCGCCATCCAGTACGTAAAAGGCTACAGGTTCTAAAATTGGCCAACCCTGCAGACAACCTCTATCCGGAAGACTCATTCGGTGCTGTGTATTATTTACCAAGGAGACTCCAGGGTCTCTCCAGGAAAACTAGTCAACCTTGGTCTCTTTCCCACCAAATTAAGGAGTAACCCAGAGGGAGCAGCTGCCATTGGCAACCATCTCGTTGTAGCTCTGTCCTAGTATTTGCTCTCGACGATGTTTACATGTGATTGCCATAAAAGCTTACTGTAGACTGTGTCGATAGCCGCCCACACAGGGCAGGTTGTACTGTCTATCTCTGTGCCGTGCTGGTGTTTTCCAAAAATGTCCGATCCAACCGCTAAGTGGAATTCTTCCATCTCCTTCCTCAGTCTACAAGACTGAATCAGAATCCTCATTCTCGGGGACTCTGGTTACCGAAGGAAAATGCATCAAAGAGGTAAAGAATATGAGTGGATGGAGTGCAGCTAAGGCCCCCACCCCGCTTACCCCGCCACACCTTGCCCCCAAACAGAAAACTGCTTTGAATCAGAAAGCACCAGTCAGGTGTCTCCATCTGCTGTGAGATCTCACAGCATCGCATGTCGAGTGTGCTCAGGAGGGAGGCAGGGCTTCGGGGGCTTTGGTGGCGGGAGGAGGAAGGGAGGAACACTTTGAGCTGCAAAGCTCGGTACCCAAGTCCTGATGTGGGAAGAGATGCAGTAAGAAGTCTAAAGCCCACGCTTGTTGATGTTTCAGAGAGATTTCTTCTAGGCGTATGCAACACGCGTGCTGAGGCCGCTGTGCAGGTGGTGAGTGTTGGGGACAGGGAGGCATTGGCGGTGTGATCCTTCTGCATGAACAGGTTGGAAGCCCATCCCAGGCCTCGGCTTCAGTTGAAATCACAGCTGAGCCTACAACTTGAGTGATGGGTCATCCCAACTGTGAAGCAGAATGAACCCTAGAGGATTTGTTGATATGACCAAGGAGAGAAATTGGATGTACAGTAGCAAATAAAGTGAAGCTAATAGTTTCATTGGCGGAAGAAAAGGGACCCCCTCACCCATTCGTACTGGGGCAGAAGGAGACCAGTTGGTACTTCTGTGCAATATGTTTAAGCTGGTCCCCAAGTCCCTGAGGCATTTGCACACACAGGTGGGTTCCAGGGCTATTTGCCGAGTCCGGAGGTACAGGGTAAATGGAGGGAGAGCTTGGGAGCTGGGAACCCACTTACACAGAGATGCCCTTGGCCCAAAACAGACGTGGGGTGGGGGGAGCCCCTGGGAGCCGGCTGCAGGGCGTCCAGGAAGTAGGCAGAAGCTAACTTTGCATTGAACCAATAAAAGCACTTTGAGAAAACCACAACACTGCAGCCTGGCTCCATGTTTCTACACTGGCAAATATGGGTCTCCTTTGGCAGCGTGAGGTCCTCTCCTAGGGACTGGGACATGGGGGCAGGAAAGGGCTGGTATGGGGGAGGAGAGAGCAGAGATGCCTTCGTAGACATTAGCGACAGGAGAGCCAATCCCAGAGCCAGCCCTTTGCTGGCCGTTTTGTTGGAGGCCCTAGAAACAGGGAATAGCGAGTTTAAATCTTGGTACCTATTTTTGTAAAAAAAAAAAAAAAATTAAAACAGCCCAGCTGATTGAAATGTGTTTATGGAGCAAGTCATTTACCTATAAGCCATCTCAGAGTGAGAAACCCAGTGTTTCTTACTTGCTGTGTGATCTTGGGCCTCTGTTTCCTCATCTAGCAAAATGAGACTATTGGCTGGGATGAGCACTGAGCCCCTTTCACCTCTGGTGGGCTCAGATTCCCATCCTGGAGCATGGGGGATCCATCACCAACACGTGAAACCAATTTCCTTCTCTGGCTGTGCCCAGCTCATGTTCAGGGTGAGAGTTCTCGGCAAGGTAACCAACCAGTAGCGGACTTAAACTCACGTGGTCCTGGCCCAGTTACCTTATGCGAGGAGGCCTGCTCCCCAGGACAGATCTAAGCCATAGTTTCTGGTGGGGATGGTGAGAAGTTAACCCCCAGCTTGACTAGGTGGCGATGTCGAATCTCACATTCGCCCTGTCATCCTCCCCACCGAACAGCTTTTAATCTGAATGTTGTGACCACTTGGCTGTTTCTCTCTTGCTCTCAGACAATACTAGCAATACACTTGTTTTCTCAAAACAGCTTAACTTAGGCACTTTTCACACATTTCTTTCAAATGATTGTAAAACATATGGGACAACAGAAGGCACTGATCACACTGCACGTGTTTAGGGCAGCTTTTGTTTTCTGTTTCTTTAATGGTATAGCAGCAGCGACTGAGGCTTCGAGATTTGGGGGGACGGATGTTCAGATACTCCGTTTCATCACAATGCCTTGCACATCCGGAAGCAGCTCAGAAATCCAGCTGCCCGAACTGGGGGCTTAGAAAAAATGGTTTTCTGGACGGTCCGTCCCTGGGCTGTGCAACACCTCCTAAAGAGCTGTTTATATAGCTAGACCCCCTCTGTGCTGTATTTTTTGTCAAAGGATCCTCCAAGGAAGCCTGATAAAGCCTCCTTTTCCTCTTTGCCAGCCTTGGTCATGGGTGACTTGTGAAGGGACTGGGTGGTCAGCCTCCGCCTCCGCACTTTGCCTTATTAACGTCTAGTCACCATCTAGTGGCCAAAGACTGTATCCACCAGCTGTCCAGATGGAAGGCAAATAAATCCTTTCTGCCACCTTGCTATCCAACACCAACTTTGGGAATGAAATGTAATGTCATGGGCGAACTGTCTGTGTGTTTAGAGCTCAGTGTTACACCAGTCAGAAGACTCCAAAAGCAACCACTTAGTAGACTCTCCCATAGAGGGAAGTGCACTAGCTGTCCTGTGGACAGAGGAGACAGGAGTGGACCCTGTGTCCAGGTGCCCGGGAGGGGTTTACTGTAACTGCAATACTGGCAGCCCAGCTGCTGACCTTGTTAAGTGAACCTCTGCCAGGTGGCCCGCACCATACCCTCCGGACAAGCCAGGAGGGTGGGTGTGAGGATTCTGTGTGGGGGTGGCCATGGCCTTTGATATGGTCCACCAAATAGCCAAACAGGTTATTCTTTTGTTGTTAGTTTGTGTTTGTTTTTGTATTTTGTATTTAAAAATCTTGTCAAGTGTTTTTGTGTTAGGAATAAAAAGTCATAAACTATTCCCAACTTTGTTTCTTGAGGGATGTTCTGATTCCAACGGAAACAGGTTGGAAATCGCAAAGGGTGTGTGGTCATGGTGGTCAGTGGAATGGAGAAGTGGACCACTTGGGTTTCCAGACTGTTTCTGGGGAAGATGACGACCCAGAAGTCTGGCTTGGTGCATTCTGCTCTGGAAATTCATGCCCACCCCTTCACCTCCTTGTGCCACGGTATTAGCATCGGCTTTGAGCATCTGCTTCTGTCACAGGCAGCTGCTAATGTTGAAACCAACACAAGATCCCTCTCCCCAACCCCAGGTTTCTAAAGAGACGGTGTCTGTAGCTAGCCTTAATCAACTGGGCAAGGTGGTCCCTATGGTCCCTTCCAGCATTTCCAAATCTTAGACTCAAATCCTTTTCTCTTGGTGTGACCATGCAGCCTAGAGAATTCTGAGCAATAGGGAGTCAGGGCTTTCCCCAGCTCTGTGACAGGGTCAAACCAGGGAATGGCTAAACTTGTGAGGTTTGGGCATCCCCAGGGGTACTACCGTAGGGGGCATTATTTATTAGGAAGCTCAACAAGGTAACTACAGCCTGGGGTGCGTGAGCGCAAGGCTGTGTGTGTGTGTCTGTGTGTCTGTGCGTGTGCACGCCTGTTCGTATGTATGTGTGGAATTACATTGATGCATTTCTTGAGAAAGGTGCAAGAATTTCACCTACACAGAGGGACACATCTGCTTTGTTATTTATAATAGAAAGCTAAATTTTAATTTTTTAAAGGACACTGCTAATGATTGAGAATCGAGTTTTTAGTTTTGCTATTTTTTTTAATTGGTAGAGGATTTTTATATATTTTTTCCATTTTGTTGGGTTGTGTCCTTATTTATATAAATACTTTGTGTGTAAGAGGCAAGGAAGAAACCTTCTTTGCTTTTAGTTATTGTGGTCGTCATCCCCCCTATTTTATTTCTGGTGTGATTTATCTGTCTTACCTTCTAAATGAGAAAATGTTTTCCTGTATTTGTACATTGTCAGATTCTATAGTTTCATAGATAATTTAACCAAATTGCTCTATGTATTATTATTCCGTGAGTATAAAGTTCTATTTTAATGTCTGTAAATATTTCAGAACTGGCTTCTTTTCTCAAACTCCCACTGTGGAG